TGTGCCTTTTTCGCTACCCTTTGCTTTTTTAAATTTCGTGGGTTAATTTCTCCACATGAAAACACATAGGGACCAAATACACGTGTCCATATATTGATATGTAAACTGACAATCATTGCGGTTAACAGAGACGTGACTTGCTCTTGGCTGGCTCTTTAGAGCTACAGCTTGAAAGCAGGTTAGTCGCACAGTGCTGAGTCCAATCCCTAGTTAGCAGGCTTTCAACAAGAGCTCCTTAGCTCCATTGAACTGGCATCTCTTCCTACCCATTTCTTGGTTCTCCTGTGCTCTGGAAAGATGGAATGCATAGAGCTACAGCGCCTAGCATGCACTGCTCTCTAGGAGAGGAATAACATGTGAGTCTACTCTTCTCAGGATGCAGTACCTGTTCCCCTACCACTTCCTGCCTAGTTGTTGTCCAGGAATGTGTCTCTAAATACATTCAGAAAGATGAGCACAGAGAGGAGACAGTTGTCTGACAGACTGAAAGAGCATAATCCATCAAATGGAGAGACAGCAGCCCTATCTTCTGACCATTCTAAATCCTAGACCTTTGAGTCGGTGGCCAGACAATAGAGGAAGAGTAACTCTCTCCCTAGGTTTTCTCCTGTAGTCTCTGTCCTCTCAGGATAAGCTTAAGCTTTCCATGAGATAAAATGCTGTGTGAGTGTGTGAGAGAGAGAGAGAGAGGAATCTACCCCCGTCCATATGTCTTTGTGATAGTGGAAACACTTCACTGATTCTTCCTTTGACTTGGCATCAGTCTTAGTTCTCAGTGTCATTATGAGTTTCCATCTTTTTTCACAATCATCGTATGTATTTTAGTGGGCAATTGAGTGATGATCTATGAGAGGCAGTTAGCAAGATGCCGTCTTAAACTGGATATTATGCATTTATAATTTAATGCAGAACAGCTGGCCTTTAGTTCAGGGGATCTTCCCAAAGTCACAGCCTCTTTGAGGTTAAAAGGAATTTAGTCCTTCCTTTGCTCACCCACTAGATTCTGCTAATTATTCCTCTACCACCTGGGTCTTGGCCTCCTACTGAAGGTCTCCTGTGTGGAAGCAACAGACTCCTCCTCAGCGGTGAGCTGGTTGGTTTCAAATTTTGACCAGTTCTGTGTCTGGGCAGCCTGAAGGTAACCTGGAATCAGCCCTATTAGCACTGGCCAGTAGACCTTCAGCCAATTATCTGTGGCTTCAAAGACCCTCATCACGCACATTCCCCAGTTACATCGCTGCTTCTCTTACTACATTCTTCATCAGGTAAAAGGGCCGGAGGCATGTACTGATTCTGTAGCAGGGACTAGGTCACAAAGTTTCACCTCCATGTTCTAAACTACTAGTGATCAAAGATCCTAACTTGTCCAAAGATGTCCTATGTGGGATCAGATGGGGTTCAGGTAAAACACTGAGGAAAAAAAAATAGGGACTTCTTAACATCTTTATCTTCCTATTACTTCATCCTTTAACTTGCCTGGCAAGTGTCAATTAGGTTCTTTTAGGCCACAAAGAAAAACATAGTCAGGTTTCCTTAAACTATCCATGTCATCATGACGGAGACCATGGATATTGTCAGCAGATTCCAATCTCTTTCTCCTAACTCCAGGCCTCTTCTAGCCCCCTGACCTTATCAGCATTTCAGTGCCTCTCACCCTTTAGAGGTCTGAGGATTCGTGTCTATCTGCTCCATACCCTGCCAGAATGTATGAGTCCTGTGAGGTGGTCCTTGGACTCAACCAACTTGACCCTCCCTTGGCCACTGCTAATGCAGGTGCCCTATTGCTCTGGTGCCATGCTGGATGTGAAACTTCTCTAAAAGGCTTGCAGGTTCCTGAGCTACACCGTGAGAGGCACAGGGCACTCTTCAACTGGTTTTCCAAAAACCATTCTGTAGATTTCTACTACCCAGTCCTGGGGATTTTATACCAGCATGAGGCAGGGTGCATGGAAGCGCCTCTTCACGTCTCTCACCAGACCAGACAGGGCTCTATTTCCTCCTTGTGTGGGGAGAAAACTGCTATGACATTATCATCTGCCTCCTTCCTTTTATGGTTGATTTTAGAAACTCAGTGGTCTAGTCCTCCAGGCCATGACTCTAGATCAAGCCGTTTTTGGAATTCAGAATAAATGAAGCAACAACAATAACAGCAACAAGTTTCTCAAGCACATAGCTCTGTAATTCTAAAGACCTTCTGTCTGCTGTAAATTTGAAAATTCATTCAGAAATGTAACCTACTCCCCTGAAGCAAGGAACACCATCTATAGAAACAGAGGAGAGCCATAGATAAATAGAAGCAGCTAGGGGTGACTGGCATGCAACACATGCCTGTTAAAATTTCAAAAATACCATCTCACTTAGAGAAAGAATTTTAGACACCAAGCTAATGACAGAGATATTTTTTAAATATCTCCTTCAAATCATACCTTGCAATACAAGAGGCCATAAATGGTGCTTCTCCCGACTCTGAGGACAAAAGTAGCTGTGCTATTTTTAGCTTCTGAGGCTTGAAGGAGAAATTTTTAAAAATGCACACAAGGGGCTCCGGGTTAAGTAACAGAGGGATGGCTCTAGTTTCCTTACAAAAGCCCTGTAGGAGCTGATGCTGGCTGTGAATCACTGCTGCAGGCTTCACGGCCCTTTGCTGGCATGGTCTGCACCAGGCAGGTGCAGTCCTCTGGCTCCCGTGGTGCTCTTCCGAAGCTAGATCAAATGCACCAGAATGAAATGTTTTGAAAGCAGATGCTTGTTAAACCATCAGAAGAAGCAGACATAATCCAGAGGAGGCAGAGAGAAAAGGGGGAAGAAACAACTTTCAGCAATGTTATCACAGGACAGAGAAGTGGAGAGCTGGCAGTCACAGAATTGCTGTGACACGGAGCTGGCATTTCAGACACTGATCCATTTACTTTTTTGAATCACAAATTACCCTCGTTTCCTGGAAAAGTTGGTCTGGGCAGGATTATTGCCCCTAGAAAAAGCCAGAGACCTGGCCTTTGACAATCTTGCTTGAAGATGTAAAATAATTTCCAACCAATTCAGACTCCCAGCACCTGGGGGTGCAAAGTGCCTCAGATGATCAATGCCTGCTCTCTGAGGTCAGAGCCTATGAGTGTAAGCCTGCTGAAGCTATTAAAAGAGCCAGTTAACATTGTGATAAAGCACATTTTGGCAAAGCCACAAAAAAGAAAATTATAGCAATCGATACAGATCAAAATGAAAACCGGATGAAGCCGGATGAAGTTTTCAGCCAAACTTGTCTTCACTACTGCTATAATGGATTCACTTTTGGGTGCTGAAATCAGCACAATTTGCAGATTCAGGACATTGAATATGGGGGACAAAGTTGGGTAGAAATTTAGTTGAAACTATTGCAGACCCTGGACATTTACAAGTATTTCTGCTCCTTCTCACACTTGCCAACCTCTCCTATAATTGAGATACATTTGTAAAGTCTTTTTCATCCCTTTAAGTGAACTGCACTTACGTTGGCTCTGCACAGCCTCTCTTGATGGGTTTAACAGATAGCAGTTCACAGATAATCTATAAACGTGCTGTACAGACTTTGAGTGAATTCATGGTGAAGCTCCCTATAAGGAATTTTGTTTATCCATATTCACGCTTGTTGAGTTTATCCTATGGAACTCACTAGAAAACAGATGATATCCAGGAAGTAAAGCCCACCCACAGGATCCTTAACCAAATAGTGAAGTACGTGTAGTAAGCAGAATAATGGTCCCCCAAAGATGTCCACATAATAATCCTTGGAACCTGTGAATGTTACCTTACATGGGAAACAGAACTTTGCAGATATGATTAAGGATCTTGAGATGGGGACATTATCCTGGATTATCCAGGTGGATCCAGTGTAATCACCAGGGCTCTTATAAGAGGGAGTAAGGAGGGTCAGAGTCAGAGAAGGAGATGTGACAATGGAAGCAGAGGTCAGAGTGATGCCACTACTGAAAGGAGGAATACAGGCAGCATCCAGAAGCTACAAGAGGCAAGGAATGGATTCTCCACTAGAGCCTCCAGAAGGAATACAGCCCTGTAAGCATCTTATTTTAGCCCAGTGAAACCTATTTGGACTTCTGACCTCCAGAACTGTAAGAGAATGAACTTGGGTTGTTTTAAGCCACTAAGTTTGTGGTAATTTGTTACAGCGGCAATAGGAAACTAATACCGTCAACAACATTTGTCTTTAACACCCTTCCTTTTTTCTCCTTTCCTGTTTCCAACATCAAATGAAACATCAAATGTAATCAGGGTTTCTGGAATGATTTTTTCCCCTTTCTTTTAGGGACAGCTTCCTAAAATAACTCATTCACACTCAACTGCCATGATGTTATTAATAACTCCTCCCAAAAGTATGTGCATTTCTAAAAAGGACCAGAGAGAACATATTTTCTATGAAAAGAAAGAGAAATGATGTCAAGTAACTACTTAAAGCCAGGCATCATAGTGTGTATTTTGCACAGATTATCTTATTTAATCTTTCCAACTTTTCTCGGCGGTATCATCCCTCTCCCCCAACACTCTGCATTTTACAACTGAGGGAACCAAGATCCAGAGAAGATAAGAAACTTAAACTTCAAGTGAGTCACCAGAGGGGGACTAGATCTCAGGGCCATATGACTCCTGAACTCAGATTCTTTCGATTAGACCATGCTGCTTCTAATTTCCTTATACAAAACAGGACATGCTAGTAATACGATTTCCACATCAATTTGAAAGAAATAGTGATTTGGGAAGCAGGTATTGCTTGCTAGAAAAAAATAAGGTGAGGGCACAATTTGACTATAGTTACTACTCCAGATCTTTTTGATAGGATTTTGTGGACTCTCCCTTGTTCTGGTTGCAGGTAATCGGGAGGAAGGGAAATCATTCTGAGCAAGCAGTTCCTGCCACCCTTTCTGCTCCCTGAAAGCTGTTTCCTCTCAAGGACAAAACCCATCGGCAGTGTATGTACCCATTCCTAATTATGTTAAATCTCCTTATAGGGGTGTTTGCATTTGGACTTTTTGCTACTGACATTTTTGTAAACGCCGGGCAAGTGGTCACGGGACACCTAACGCCGTACTTCCTGACAGTGTGCAAACCAAACTACACCAGCACAGACTGCCGAGCGCACCACCAGTTCATAAACAATGGGAACATTTGCACCGGAGACCTGGAAGTGATAGAGAAGGCTCGGAGATCCTTTCCCTCCAAACACGCGGCTCTGAGCATTTACTCCGCCTTATATGCCACGGTGAGTGTGTGAGTCCTGTTGTCTCTCCCAAGTTGAGTTTTTGCTGATATGTGGCTCTCTCTGCTCCCACCCATTGTTTCGTCACCGTGACTGATAGTGATCTGTAAAGTCACGTACAACCTGTGTCTCCTATATTATATCATGCTGTTTCCCTCCTCTCAGTATCCCTGCAATATCCTTTCCTGCCAAAGGATATTAGTTCTGGAAAGAGGTTTGATAATCATCTTGTCAAATCCCTTTGTTTTACAGATACAGAAACTGGGGCCCAGAGAATAGCTAAGGATATACAGTGAGAGCTGGAGCCCAGGCTCCTGGCACCATATCTGAATTCTCTTACCACCCACAACAACACCCCTTGCTAAGTTTTGGTGGCTTTCAGAATGGCACACATTTCTCACACCTGCCTAAAATTTGCAGGTGTGAGCTGATTGATTGAATGCTGTCCCAGCAGTGTGGCAGACCCGGGATAAATGCACACCTTTCTTTGCCTCCTCCTGACACTTTTCATCATTGCTTTGCTGGCAAAGATGAGTGATCCAGGAAGACCCCAGCACCCCAAAGCTCATTTCTCCCTGCTCTCCAAGTCACCCAGACTCTGACTGCCACACTGGGGTATAATGCTCTTTTTGTACTTTTTGCTCTTGTCACAGAGAAACCCCAAAGTGTGTCTTATTTTAAAATACAAGAAGAAACTATGGTACCATCTTATTTTCCTACTCTTTGTTATTGCATCCCTTTGGGAAATGACCTCATTTCACCTTTCTCTGGCCTATGCTTCCTTAGATCCCAGACCATAGAAGTGTAGGAATCAGCTTAAAGCCTCCACTGCTCAATACACTGTTAAATGTGTGTTTAACTGTAGACTAGCAACTGCTGGTCAAAAACACTGCTTTTGCTTACTCAAACTTATTTTATACTCAGAATATGGTTAGTCTATTGATTCTCAATGAAAGGTAGAGAGAGAGAAGGCAGAGACAAGACCCTTCTCAAACTATCCATTCTTCCTGGAGATTCTGAGCTTAAGCAGTCTCATCCCACCCCTACACAGGGGCTGCTCCCAGCCCTTCCACTGAGAGTAACTGCTTCCGATGGAAGAAGCCTCTGAATATATTTAGGGTGGAGAAAAGGTGAATAACTATGGGTCTGGCCTGTTTAGTAGAGTTTAAAACTATTGGTTGAATATCCTCTTAAAAACAATGGAAGCAAATAGGGCCTCTGTGTTGCATTTACAGGATCACGTCTATAGGATTAATTTGTCAACCACCAAATATCCGATATCAGTCTTCCTAGTTATTCCTTTTAGATCTGCTCTTCAATGAATACATGACAAAAATGATTCCACCTGCCCGCATGTTAAGGAAACATATGAACACAAATAATTTAAAGAGCCTCAATTTATAAAGCGGATCAATTGGTTAGGATTCTTTGATTTTCCAGAAAAATTTATGCCAGGTATTTTTCTGTGCTTTAGGTGAAAGTTTACAGCTCAAGTTACTTTCTCCTACAAAAAATTTATACACATATTGTTATGTGACCATAGTTGCTATCCCTGTAATGTGACAGCACACTCCCCCTTTCTACCCCGGATCTCCCGCGTCCATTCAACCAGCTCCTATCCCTTCCTGCCTTCTCGTCTCGCCTCCGGACAGGAGCTGCCCATTTAGTCTCATGTATCTACTTGAACTAAGAAGTGCATGAGTATTATTTCACATTTTATAGTCCAGTCTAATCTTTGTCTGAAGAGTTGGCTTCGGGAATGGTTTTAGTTCTGGGTTAACAGAGAGTCCGGGGGCCGTGTCTTCTGGGGTTCCTCTAGTCTCAGACCATTAAGTCCAGTCTTTTTACGTGAATTTGAGTTCTGCACCCCATTTTTCTCTTGCTCCCTCAGGGACTCTTGGTTGTGTTCCCTGTCAGGGTGGTCATTGTGGTAGCCAGGCACCATCTAGTTCTTCTGGTTTCAGGCTGAGGGAGTCTCTGGTTTATGTGGCCCATTTTGTCTCTTGGGCTAATATTTTCCTAGTGTCTTTGGTGTTCTTCATTCTCCTTTGCTCCAGGTGGGTTGGGACAAATTGATGCATCTTAGATGGCCACTCGCTAGCTTTCAAGACTCCAGATGCCACTCAACAAAGTAGGATGCAGAACATTTTCTTAATAAACTTTGTTATGCTGATTGACCTAGATGTCCCCCTAAACCATGGTCCCCAGGCCCCCGCCCCTGCTACTCTGTCCCTCCAAGTGTTTGGTTGTGTTCAGGAAACTACTTAGCTTTTGGTTTAGTCCAATTGTACTGACTTCCTCTGTATTGTGTGTTGTCCTTCCTTTCTCTTAAGATAATTCTTGTCTACTATCTAGTTAGTGAATTCTCATGACCCTCATAACGATCAAAGAATGTTTTCTTCTGTGTGTAGATCTTTTCTTGAGTTCTTACAATAGTGGTCCCATCCAATATTTGTCCTTTTGTGACTGACTAATTTCACTCTGCATAATGCCTTCCAGATTCATCCGTGTTATGAGATGTTTCGCGGAGTCGTCATTGTTCTTTATCATCGCATAGTATTCCATTGTGGAATATACCATAATTTGCTTATCCATTTGTCCATTGATGGGCACTTAGGTTGTTTCTGTCTTTTTGCTATTGTGAACAGTGCTGCAGTGAACATGGGTGTGCATATATCTATTCGTGTAATGGCTCTTATTTCTCTAGGATATATTCCAAGGAGGGGATTGCTGGATCGTATGATACTTAAATTTCTAGCTTTTTAAGGAAGCGTCAAATCGATTTCCAGAATGGTTGTACCATTTTACATTCCCACCAGCGGTGTATAACTGTTCCAGTCGCTCCACAATCTCTCCAACATTTATTATTTTGTGTTTTTTTGATTAACGCTAGCTTTGTTGGGGTGAGATAGTATCTCATTGTAGTTTTGATTTGCACTTCTGTAATGGCTGATGACTGTGAGTATTTCGTTATGTATCTGTTAGCTGCTTGAATGTCTTCTTTGGTTAAGTGTCTGTTCATATCCTTTGCCCATTTTTTAATTGGGTTATTTGTCTTTTTGTGGTTGAAGTTTTGCAGTATCCTGTAGATTTTAGAGATTAGATGCTGGTCAGATTTGTCATAGCCAAACATTTTTTCCCAGTGTGTAGGTTGTCTTTTGACCCTTTTGGTGAAGTTTTTTGATGAGCATAATTGTTTGATTTTTAGGCGCTCCCAGTTATCTACTTTCTCTTCTGGCGTTTGTGTGCATTGTTGGTTATGTTTTGTATTCTGTTTATGCCATACATTAGGGCTCCTAGCATTGTCCCTGTTTTTTTTTTTTTTTTCCATGATCTTTATCTTTTTCAATTTTATATTTAGGTCTTTGATCCATTTTGAGTTAGTTTTTGTACATGGTGTGAGTGAGGTATGGGTCTTGTTTCTTTTTTTTGCAGATCGATATCCAATTATGCAAGCACCATTTGTTAAAGAGACTGTCTTTTCCCCATTTAATGGAGTTTGGGCCTTTGTCAAATATCAGCTGCTCATAGGTAGATAAATTTACATCTGGATTCTCAATTCTGTTGCACTGGTCTAGTATCTGTTGTTGTACCAGTACCGGGCTGTTTTGACTACTGCAGCGGTATAATAGGTTCTAAAATCAGGTAGTGTGAGGCCTCTCACTTTGTTCTTCTTCTTGAATAATGCTTTACTTACCAAAGGCCTCTTCCCATTCCATATAAAGTTGGTGATTTGTTTGTCCATCTCATTAAAAAACATCATTGGAATTTGGAACGGGATTGCATTGTATCTGTAGATCACTTTGGGTAGAATTGACATTTTCACAATGTTGAGTCTACCTATCCATGAGGAAGGTATGTTTTTCCACTTATGTAGCTCTCTTTTGGTTTCTTGCAGTAGTATCTTTTTTTTTGTGTAGCTCTTTTACATCTCTGGTTAGATTTATTCCTAAGTATTTTATCTTCTTGGGGGCTATTGTAAATGATATTGACTTGGTGATTTCCTCTTGGAAGTTCTCTTTGTTAGTGTAGAGGAATCCAACTGATTTTTGTATGTGTATCTTGTACCCTGAAACTTTGTTGAAATCTTCTATTAGTTCCAGTAGTTTTGTGGATTTTTTGGAGTTTTCTATGTATAAGATCATTCCATCTACAAATAGGGATACTTTTACTTCTTCCTTGAATGCCCCTTATTTCTTCTTCTTGTCTAATTGCTCTGGCTAGGAGCTTCAGTACAATGTTGAATAAGAGTGGTGATAAAGGGCATTATGCTGGGTATTTTTTAAACAAAGAAAGCCCGCTGAGGCTTATGGCACATTTTCCAATTTTCAATATTGATTTATCCTAAATTATCTAGAACCTAAATTGTATAAAGCATCTTTTCCTATTATTTTTATCAGAATCAAGTCATTGTTGTTTAAAATTAATTTTTACTACCAAACCATAAAACCAAACCTATTGCTGTCAAGTCGATTCTGACTCATAACGACCCTATACGACAGAGAGGAACTGCCCCATAGGGTTTCCAAGGCTGTAAATCTTTGCAGAAGCAGACTGCCATATGATTCTTCTGCAGGGCGGCTAATGAGTTCAAACCGCTGACCTTTGGGTTAGTGGCCAAGCGCTTTAACCACTGCACTACCAGGGCTCCTTACTCATAATAAATTACTGTCTTATCAAATGATGCAGTAAACTTTTTGGGGGAAGAAAGAAGTAAATATAGTCAGCTCACTCAGAGTAGATGCTTCTCTAACACATGTTTTCAAAGATTCAAATATAATCCAATTCAAATCATGCCCCCTAAACAGAACATAAAATCAGACAGACCCTGATAATAAGATTTCAATTGTACATTTTCTGAACCCCTATTGCATGTTAAGTGCTTTTACAAATTACTCAGCAAGTATTTCCTAAGTACTCGTTAATACTGTGAGGAATACTAACTAACCATAGGCCTATGCTCTTAATAGTTTAGAATCTTGTCGGAAAGTTTATGAAGGATATAATTAGAAAACCGTATAGAAGCAATAAAATATTAGTGTTAAATATATAGTAGAGGCTTTTTAACATTTCCCACACACCCTCAAGATAGTGTAATAATATGCTCTAATTTATGTAGCTTTGATCTAACCACTGTTTTGTAGGGCATCTGTTTCATAGAATAATGAGAACCCTGTCTTTTTGTCTTCACACCAGTGTTGAAGCATCACTTTATGAAATTAATCATTTCCATTTCATATTGTAACGTGTATCTATTTGCACTTACATATGCTCACACCATGCAAGCACACTGTCATTGACTATAATGTAGCATCAACATATTATTTTCTAGGGCTGCTAAACTCATCATATATGTTAAGAAATGATGGATCAGTCATGCCCTCTAGTGGTTTTGTGTGTGTGTGCGTGTGTGTGTGCGTGTGTGTGTGTGTGTGTGTGTGTGTGTGTGTGTGCACGCGCACGTGACCATTACCAGGCACATCTTCCTAATTCTAGGCTACCAGGGACACGTTTAATAACTGAACCGATGAAACATAGGTATCTCGCCTAGCTCCTCACAGTGAAATAACAATAGCTTAAATCTTAGGTGTCATAAATTGCCACATCATTTACTTAGTTCAAGTCTTCCCAACCTTTTTTACCTTGTGGGACATACAGAAAAGTTGAATATTTTGAAGCACGCTAAAGTAAATGATTGGATGGAGCTGATCACAGCTGCCCCAAGGAATGTAGGAATCAGTTTCCCAGTGCAACTGAAACTCACTTGTGTGGCCTACTGGTTGGAAGGTCCTATTTCAGTCAATACAGTCATCAGTCACCAATTTGGAATGGACTGCCTGGTTGCCAGGAGTTGGCGTTGACTTGACGGCAGTGGGTTTTAAGAGTGAAGAAGCAGCTAGGCCTCTAGAGGTCGCAGAAAGTAAAACATATAGACACTCACCTTTCTGATCTTTGCCATAAAATTAGCTCTCATAGGTTTATTTTGTATTTGAGAATTCTTGTACGGGCGTCCTAATACCCCAGGGATTCTTTAATTTATTACATAAAAACTGCATGTTCTGAATCTGATCACAATTATGCATTTATTCCTCATGTGCCTATCACTTCTGTTTACATGCCCACTAGAACACAAAGCACTGTGATTGAGGTACATCTGTTCATTGCTCTTCCTGCACGAGTTTCCCACCCTAAGTTTCTACTAAGTAGTTCAGTGGAGTTGTTCCAGGAAAGCCAGTTGGTGTGGCTGCTTTGGTATGGGTCCCTGTTTGTATGTGCTGGTGTGTGTATATGCATGCATATGTACGTATCAGTCTGAGAGGCTGCCTGATCACTCCCAGGCTCTTTCCTCTTCCAGATGTACATCACAAGCACAATCAAGACAAAGAGCAGTCGATTAGCCAAGCCAGTGCTGTGCCTCGGGACCCTCTGCACAGCCTTCCTGACAGGCCTCAACCGGGTTTCTGAGTATCGGAACCACTGCTCTGATGTGATTGCAGGCTTCATCTTGGGCACTGCTGTAGCCCTGTTCCTGGTATGTCACCTGCCTTCTTTTTACCCCTTTCCCTTTAGTGCCCTCTGAAAGACTGCCTAAGATCACGGTGAGTCAACAAAATCAGGTTTCCAGACTTCTTTCCAGAGTCTGAGTCCATGTTCCTCTTGTCCCAACCTTGTGAATTGTAATTATTCTCCAAGTATTATGCATCCTTCTGCAAGAGTAATTTCTAAAGCACCTTTTCTTTCAGAAGTAGGATTGGCCGTATTCCCTCTGAGGGTCAGGGAGAGGATTGCCCCAGGAAGGACAGCTGGCTCTACTTTCTGCAACACTAGGTTTGGGAATGAGGCTGGGCAGAGTAGTAATTTGGCATACCTTAAAACCACTGTTCTTTAAATATTCGTTCGAAATGTATTTAGAGCCTAAGCTGGATGTTGCTTGAAAGACGAGCAGAAAGAAAAGCCGTGGTGGATGCATGCAGCCTCTTCCAAGATCCTGAGACACTCAGCTCTGACCCCAGACTTGCCTCTCCCCCACAGAAAAATGAAAGTCCTGTAGCTAGCCACACTCACACCTCTGAGAAGGCCTGTTATCTGAACATGCCTCCTGGACATCTCATCCCCACCACAAGTGGCTTCTCACCCATATTTAATGATCTTCCTGGGGAAGAGTGTTGGTTAATACAGTTTTCTCCATACCCTTACATCTCTGACGATGTTTTAACTCCTCTAACAGATGGGAGGCCTGGTCACCTGTTCACCTAGGAAGTCCCTTAATTTGTATTAGATTATAAAACAAGAGGTTTGGTTCTCATTCTTTTTTTTATTTTTGTCTTCTTTTAATTTTTACAGCTTTATTGTGGTGTAGTAAGCATACAATAAATGGCACATAAAGTGGACAGTTTGAAAGATGTTGGCATATGGATATACCCATGAAACCATAACCACTATCAAGATAATGAACATATCCATCACCCTCAAAAGTTTCTTCATACCCCTTTGCAGTCCCTCCCTCTACTTTTCCCCTGTCCCTTTTCCAAAACATTTGATTATCTTTCTGTCACTATATATTAATTTGCCTTTTCTAGAATTTCATGTAAATGGACTAATGTAGAATATACTCTTTTTTTCTGGCCTCTTTCACCCAGCATAATTATTGTGATATTCGTCCATGCTGTAGCATGCATTGGTAATTCATCCCTTTATTGCTGTGTAGTATTCCACTGCATGAGCACACCGTAGAAGTAGTTTCAGGTTGTCTTCAAGGATTTAAAATAGACTTATCCTGAGCTCCAAGAACAACCCTAACAACATTCTTGTCCTCATTTACAGTGAATCACCAGGCCTGCAGCCTCGTGTTACACATGAAATGAATCCCCTGATGATATTCAGAAAGCCTCCCCAAGGAGACAGAAGCTATCGCTGTCTGGAAAAACCTCCCTCCTCCTCTTCTGATCCCAGAACCCATTAAGACTGGCATCCCACATAGGTGGACTTCACAGTCATATAACCCACCTCCTCCTTTTCCTATCCCTACTCCCTGCCCTCCCTAACATACAAACTCCTTTCCCAGCCTCTAACTCAGCATTTCCAAACCTTTTTTACTTGTTAAGATACATGCAGAAAATAATCCCAGGTATTCAGATCACTGATTAGGAAGCTGTATTCTAACTCAAAATTATTCTGAATGTATCCAAACTTCCTTCCCACCATGAAAGATGAAGGGCATAAGTACAAATTCCCTGGGTGAAGTTGCAGGAAAGACGGTGCTAAGATGATCTTGAAATGTTGCTGTCTCATAAGGGATATCTTCCCAAGAATGCGTTTTAAAAGAGTGAAAGAATACAGGTGATTTGAACAGAGGAGAGGGGTTTCAGAGTAGGATCGATAGCCCGTAAATGAAGGCTTTGGGCTCCAAAGAAAAGCCAAACAATTTTGCTGTCCATCAGTCCTGAAGCCAGCCATCCTGAGCTCAAGAGAATGAGCAGTGCTGACTGCCCAGAGCAACTTTGTGGGATGATGCCTTCAGATTCTTTTGTGTTTGCTGAAGCCCTAGATACAAATTCTGCTTTAATGTTAAACTTGTTTTCTCTCAGTAACGTACTATTTTTTTCTATTTCTGCCTTCTTCACGTGATTTCCCAATTGATAGCAAAATGTGTTTTCCACAAATAATCTTTCTGCAAGGTCCAGATCTGCTGTTGAATTGCTCTGGCATGAAATGGATTACCCTGGACACACCACTCATACATATCTGCTATGCTAGGAAATGGGAGGGCAGGGAAGACTTGAGGGATGGATGTCATGGAAAAGACCTGGGGATTCCAGAGCAGAAAGTTGAAGAGAAGACATAAAAAGAGAGAAGAACAATGTCTGAGAGGAGAAGCATAGTTGCTGCATATGTTCATTATTGTTTTACCTGTTGTTTGTGTTTACCACGAAGACGAAAAGTAGGGGAAAGAGCAAGGAAACTATTAGTTGAACAATTACTGCACGCCCTACACTTTATATATCAAATCGTGTGCTTCTAGAGCAACTCTAGCAACAGTCTTATCCTCATTTTATAGATACGAAAGTGAGGCTCAGGAGTTGCTAACTTGCCCAATGGCCACTCAAACCAATTAGCCAGGAATCTAACCTGGGCCTCTCCAGCTGCAGAGCTCCTACCCCTTCCACTTTCCCCATTTCCTGAATGGAGGAGGCTTAAGCAGAGCTGGAGAGTGAGATGAAGGTGAGCCAGGTAGAAAGTATTTTTTACTTAAATATTCTGCAGGGTGTGAAGAGTGACAGGAAAAATGCTGGCTCAAAGACACCACACTGGATATAGAAACAAAGATGTGGCGGCAAATGGACAGGAGAGCATGGAAACAGGCAGATAAACTACACAGGCGGAGCAAGCAGAAAGATGGTATAAAGTTATGAAGGGGCCTCAGTAGGAAACAACGTGGGTAGTAATTTATAGGGGAAGTTTTTTACTGGAGACAGTAAAAGAAAACTGCCACCGATAGGTTATTTAATCTCGAGCAAATGAAAATCAGCTACCTAGCAATATAATTTGAGGGTGAACATTTTAAGTCAGAGTTACTGAGTAGCTGACATTTACTGATTGCTTGCTATGTGTTTGGCACTTGTTAAGAGGCAAAGTATAGTAGTGGCGAGAGCTAGGGACTCTCGTGTTCAAATCTCTGTATGACCTTGGGCAAGTTATCTGGCTTCTCTGTTCCTCCTTATCTAAGCTGGAGATGATTATAGTACCTCCCTTGTAAGATTGTTGGGTGGGTTAAATGAAGTAAGGCGAAACCCTCAGCATAGTGCCAGACACATGGTAGCTCTCAGTAAACATTAGCTGATATTATTAGGCAGTTTACATCCATGACACTTTTTAGTCGTTACAAATCCTATGAAGTGAGTATTATTATTCCCATGCTGCAGGTGAGGAAACAGGCTCAGTGGGGTGCATTGATTATCACTGGCTGTCTGGTGATTAAGCAATGCCCCCCCCGCTCCCCACACACGCGTACACTTAGAACATTCTTCACAGACACCCTGTGTCATGCCTCAGGTTTTTCATGGTCCCTACCCACCCAAAGGCAAAAAATCACTATGGTGACGATATTTGAGGGGAAAGTCCTGCCATCCTCAGAGATGACCAGGTGGTAATGGCTGCAGTCTGACCCCAGTCTCTTTTCGCCTCATCCTGCAGGGAATGTGTGTGGTCCATAACTTTAAAGGAACACAAGGATCTCCTTCCAAACCCAAACCTGAGGATCCCCGTGGAGTACCCCTAATGGCTTTCCCAAGGATAGAAAGCCCTCTGGAAACCTTAAGCGCACAGGTATAGTAAAGTCATTAGCAAACCAGACCCACAGGCTCACACCTATAGCCTTGGGTGGTCAACAAATCTGTTCCTTTACTGAAGGCAGGACTTCACTGAATCTACCCAGTACAAATACAAATATGATCCCTCAAGAAATGTGTCATCACAGCTTCCCTCAATCAGGCCTGTATTCATTGTGCGGTTGGCAATGGAATCCCCCAGAAGTTCTTAGTAATATCTAACTTAAACCCCAGTGGCTTCAGGACACCTTGACCTACAAGCTAATACTCTCATAAATTTGGTCCGATCATGCAGAAGGCCAACTTCATTTATTGGCTAGGACAATATTTGAAAAGAAAATGTTTTGTTAACATCCAGTGATAGATGCAAGCTGGAAGCATATTTACAAGGGGCTCATATCTAGATGTCCTTTTGGATCTGTTTTAATGACTACAATTAAAAATTCAATTCAGCAATACTTACCGATCACTTCTTGTACACCAGGGCCTTGTTTCATGCCAGGGATACAGAGAATAAATAGACATACAGTTTCTGCCCTCAAGGAACTCACAGATGATCAGGAAAGGTGGGTGTAAGTGAGTAAATAATATAACATGCTGAGTCAGAGTCCACAAAGTGCTCCGTGAAAACAAAAATAAAGGATATTTCTTCTGTCTGATAAAACAGGTCAAGCTATGAAGAAGACTTGTCAACTGAAAAGAGCCTCAGAAATGGTATTAGACACTTACTTTTTTTGCCTAGGAGAGTTGCTAGGTACTTTACAAATATTATCTTATTTGAACAACTACCTTATTGACGTTGGACAAGATACTGCTCGTTTCACGGATAAGAAAACTGAAGTCAGGGGTATTAAATCACTTGCCCAAGGCCACATAGCTAGCTAAAGGAGAGCTGGGATGAGTAAACCTGAAACCAAACCCATTGCTTTCAAGTCAATTCTGACGCATAGCAATCCTATAGGACAGAGTAGAACTACCCACAGGGTTTCCAGGGAGGGGCTGATGGATTCGAACTGCTGACGTTTTGCTTAGCAGCTGAGCTCTTAACCACTGTGCCACCGGTGCCCCCTGGGATGAGTAGGGGTTCTTTTATCAGATAAGAGAGAGGGGAACGACTAATAATACAAGATTTTTATTAACATGCCATTTGTTTCAGGCAGCTGGATCTTGCTAAAATGTATCTTTTCTGTTAATAGTCTATCTTGGAATCTCGATTGTATTGACATTTCCTTACTAGACTGTTTTTATAGATAGTGCAAGGGTAAAGCCGGTCACCTCCCACTGGAATTATCATATACTTCATATCAGTACAGTAGACTTCTCTCTGAGACACACTGTACTCTTTCCTTTCACCTTTAGTGAAGTGTTTCTAATTTTATTTACAAACAAGGGAAAAAAGATTTCCATCTTGGAAAAAATAATTATGGCTCTCCATTAAACCCAGTGCCATATATTTTTTGTTTGTTTGTTTGTTTTCTCTTAACCTGGGTTAGCATGAAAATTTTAACTTGGTCTAATTAGGAAATAAGTACTGAAAAAATGATTTCTGGTTTATTTACACATAGCCTGTTACTGCTGGTTGAATGATGAATTAGCCAAGTAATGATACCTTATGGTAAAATAGTATCTCAGTAAGAATCTCTCTAGTTTTTCTTCCTTATCAAATATGTACCTGTGCCCAGTGAAGTCAGAGTTGCTATCTGTATTTATAAGGTGAAGCAACTGAAGACAAAGGTGAATTTTCAAACCATTTGAATTTGAATTTATCAAATGTTATTCTGTCTCTGTGTTCTTGTACACACCGTACAAAGTGTACACACTTTGACCCCAATATCCTAATCTAAGAACACCGTATTCCCATGCCATCCTCCTGCCCAGTTCTGCTCGAGGATTACCCTCTGTCTGAAGCTCTCTCCAGAGTTCTTTCTCTTTCCTCGGTTGATCAAGCCAAGAGAGACCCAGGTCATATTTTGGGGAATTTTACTTAATTGAAAAATGGAGTACTAAAACAAGGTTGCAAAAACTACTATTCACAAGATAGATGTAAGATAATAGCTATATATATATAGTTGTCGTTGTTGCTAGCTGCCGTTGAGTCAATCCTGACTCATGGCGACCTCATGTGTGCAGAGTAGAACTGCTCCATAGGGTTTTCAAGCCCCGGTGGCAGAGTGGTTAAGAGCTTAGCTGCTAACAAAAAGATCGGCAGTTTGAATCCACCAGCCGCTCCTTGGAAGCCCTATGGGGCAGTTCTACTCTGTCCTGTAGGGTCGCTATGAGTCAGAATTGACTCAATGGCAATGGGTTTGTTTTTCTGTTGTTGTTGTTGTTGTTTTAAACTTTCATAAGCAGATCACCAGGCCTGTCTTCTGAGTCACCTCCGGATGGCTTCAAGCCACCAACCTTTTGGCTAGTAGCTGAGTGCTTAACCATCCGCACCACACAGGGACTCATACATATATAATACCTTATTGTTCACTACAGGCAGTACATCGACTTGACAGCAGCGGGTTTGGTTTTTTTGGTTTTTTACAGGCAGTACTGTAGTTGAACTTATTTTAAATTTGTCAGTGTATCTTTGTGACTGTATATGTCACCTCATTTGGATACAACTTGAGGCCTTTCCTGATTACCAGGCTTGGGCCAAAAAGCTCTCAGGGCCCCTTGTGTGTCTGCCCCTTATAATTAAGGCCAATAGTGACCTCTCATACCTACCTCCCCTAAGGACTCAGAGAGCTTTGAGGATCTAGACCCTATGAACTGTGTCTTACTTGCTCTCCATATGTCCTGACATCACTGTTTGATGGGTGGATGGCTACAAGCCCGAACCGAAAGCTAAAAAGAAATGTCAAAGCCAAGAACCTAAAATCAGACCATAAGGAGCTTTGGTAGCACAACAGTTAAGCACTTGGCTGCTAACCAAAAGGTTGGTGGCTCAAACCTACCTAGCGGCTCCACAGGAGAAAGACCTGGTGACCTGCTTCCATAAAGATTACAGCCTAGAAAACCCTATAGGGCAGTTCTGCTTTACCACGGGGTCACTATGAGTCAAAATCAACTTGATGGCCCCTAACAGCAACAACAAAATCAGACAGTAGTCACTATCTGAACATCCACGGAAACAGAGATTTATGAGAAACAGTGAGCAGGACTTCTGCAGGCTAGTCCAAATGAAGCTATAGGAAACTGGATAGAAGGTACTTCCTCTCAAGTACGCTATCCATACTGATTGTGGAAGACTCGAATAACCAAGCATCTGATTTTAATATGAAATACTTTCCACATGGATAGTATAGGATATATTCATTTTTTTGTTGGTCAAGAAAAGAGCATTTATTGAAAGCCATCTCATTTAATTCACACAATAATCCTTCAATAAGTATTATTATCCTGTTTTATAGATGAGGAAAGTAAGGCACAAAGAGTTAAGTAGCTTGCCCAAGATCACACAGTCAAAATTAAAACATGGGCCTATCTAATTCTAAAAGCTCTGCTTGTTCTATTATACTACACTGCCTGAGATTTTATTCAAGGAAGATTCCTTTTTGAAATCTGTATCTCTCAGCATTGGGTATGCAAACATGTTACAGCCTGTATAAGGGCTGATGTGTTTAAACTGAGTTATAGATCTCCTTAAATAAATCTGCCCTGGGTCCCTGCCACCCACCATGGGCAGAGACTCCCTGTGCAACTCCAACAATGGTGGTTTCTTTTGGAAGCTGCCTGTGATGGTTAATGTTTTGTGCCAACGTGGCTAGGCTATGATTCTCCGTGGTTTGGCAGACATTGGACTGATTGCTCTTTCATAATGTAATATAATATAATCATCCTCCATTTTGTGATCTAATGTGAGTAGCCAATCAGTTGAAACACCAATCAGTGGAAAGTCAATCATTTGAAAGTTAATCAGTTGAAAGCCAGTTTCCTTGGGGATGTGGCCTTCATCCAATATGTATGGATGTTCTGGCAAAGCGCTCTCTCTCGATACTCTCTCGATCCTGCATCTGACTTGTTATCCTCTGGCCTGTGGTTCTTGGGACATGAGCTAGCAGCCTACCATCTGACCTGCCAATTTTGAGTTCATCAGCTTCTGCAACCCCGTGAGTCAGGAGAAGACTTGAGCTTGATGCCTGACCCATGGATTTGGGACTTGCCATCCTCCACAACCTCATGCGGCAGTTCCTTGAGATAAATCTCTCTATGCATATATTTATAGGGGAACCTGTACATATATCAAGAGGCAGTCGTTCAAACAGAACAAGGGGATACTGTGTGGTTTAAAGTCAGGAAAGGTGTGTGTCAGGGTCGTATCCTTTCTTCACCGTATCTATTCAATCTGTATGCTGAGCAAATAATCTGAGAAGCTGGACTATAGGAAGAAGAACAATGCTATGCCAAGAAATTTGGAAGACAGCTACCTGGACAACCAACTGGAAGAGATCCATATTTATGCCTATTCCCAAGAAAGGTGATCCAACCGAATGTGGAAATTATCAAACAATATCATTAATATCACACACAAGTAAAATTTTGCTGAAGATCATTTAAAAGCAGCTGCAGCAACGTTATCAACAGAGAACTGCCAGAAATTCAAGCTGGGTTCAGAAGAGGACATGCAGCCAGGGATATGGTGTTTTCAGTCGCCTCATACACGTGTGAAACCTGGATGATGAATAAGGACAACCGAAGAATTGATGCCTTTGAATTGTGGTGTTGGTGAAGAATATTGAAGATACCATGAAGAAATCTTGTCTTGGAAGAAGTACAACCAGAATACTCCTTAGAAGCAAGGATAGGGAGACTACATCTAACATACTTTGGAGATGTCATCAGGAGGGATCAGTCCCTGGAGAAGGACATCATGCTTGGTAAAGTAGAGGGTCAGGAAAAAGAGGAAGACCCTCAACAAGATGGACTGACACAGTGGCTGCAACAATGGGCTCAAGCATAACAATGATTATGAGGATGACGCAGAATCAGGCAATGTTTTGTTTTGTT